AGGACTGACAAAAGAAAGTACTTCTTTTGCATACAGTGCATAGTGAAACTATGGGGTTTGCTTCTGCAAGAAGCAGTGACGAAGCCCAATTAGGATAGCCTTAAAAATGGATTCTTACTTTCTTATGCCCATAGTTCTGAGCATTGTTCATCACTTGGCTAAAAGTAAAAGCAGACTTAGCTGGGGCCACAAAGGAGGTGTCCCGACTATGTGGTAATGCAGATTACATTGGATTTATTTTCTTTTGCTTAGGCTAAACAAAACAATCACCTGTTCCCCATTAGGCAGAAAGTGGAAAATCGGCCCCCCAAATTGGATAGGCAGGGCCTCTCGACACGCAACACAAGCCGGCTGTGTTTTCTGGCGATCTAAATTAAGCGGCGGTGAAATTGGGCCACGGCTCCCGTGGCGCCCTGAGCTCCATGATGCTGGTTTTTATTTATTGCCAAAGACACATCAAGTGCAGAGCGTAAGGGGGGGAAGAGAAAAGAAAATAAACTACACAGCAGTTTACTTAAGCAAAGCCGGGAGCTTATCAAGGAGCCCTTCAGAGCTAAATGTGGAAAGAAATGGTTGAGTAAACCAAATGAATGAGAGGAAGGAGTGGTGAAGAATGTATAAATGTCACAAGGGAATGGGGAGGGGGCAGGCAAATTACCCTACTTTTACAAATTGAAGCATCTTATCTACAGAATTTCACGGGGCTGACAGGGGAGCGCTTCTGAAAGTGAGTGTGCCTGGGCAAACTCATGTTCCAGGAGGGGAGCTGAAATGTTTTTGTTTTTGTTTCCCCCCTTAAATCAAGCCACCAGTCTGGAAACACCTACATTGCTATGGTCCTGAGGGTATGATCCAAAGCATTTTTGCTAGACTTAAGAGCATCTGACTGGGGCAGAGGACCTTCTTTCCTGTTGAGGGGCACATTCCCTTTGGCATAATCTGTCAGGAGGCACATCCAGGTGAGGGGCAGTGCAGAGCAAAAGAAAAAAATAGTGGGTCTGGCCTCAGTCTCTTTCTCTCTCTGCTACCCTCCTCTCTGCAGCAGCAACAGCAACAGGACCTCCTCACTCTGCCACCACACTTCCATCTCTTCTTTCTTTCTTTCTTTCTTTCTTTCTTTCTTCTCTCTCCTGGGTCTCTCTAACCCTTTCCCTCTTTGCCACCTGAATGAAATGAGGCCAAGGGCATCACGAAATTACACTGGTGGCTGCTTTGTCTACCTCACTCAACGCCATCCACTTCAACAGATAGCAGACTATCAGGGTCTCCGATATAGGACCTTTTAACTAGTCCGTGTCATGCCAGTGATGACACCTGGGACCTTAAAAACACAAGAAGGGCCCTGCTGGATCAGGCCAAGAGCCCATATGCTCCAGTATGCTTTTCTCACAAACATGCCTTATGGGAAACCTGCAAGCAGAACCTGAGAACAGGAACACTCTTTCCTCCCTTAAGGTAAAGGTAAAGGGACCCTGACCATTAGGTCCAGTCGTGGCTGACTCTGGGGTTGTGGTGCTCATCTCGCTTTATTGGCAGAGGGAGCTGGCGTACAGCTTCCAGGTCATGTGACCAGCATGACTAAGCCACTTCTGGCGAAGCAGAGCAGCGCACAGAAACACCATTTACCTTCCCGCTGGAGTGGTACCTATTTATCTACTTGCACTTTGATGTGCTTTCGAACTGCTAGGTTGGCAGGATTCTCCTCCCTTAGTTTCCAGCAATACCAGGATACCACCTTCATCCGAGGATCACAGGGAGGTTTACAATATAAAAACACAAAACTACATAGCACCGTAACAAACAATAACAAGAACCCCTCCATACACACTTTGAAAAGCCATCAGTTGTTTAATTAGCCAAAGGCCTAGATGAATGTTTTCATCTGGCATCTAAAGATATGTCACGAAGGCACCAAGCAAGCCTCCCTGGGGAGGGCATTCCACAAGTGGGGAGCCAACACAGAGCCCTCTGTGCTGAGTCCTCCAGTGAGAACCCTGAGATGAAGGAGAAAGAAGCTGACAGGATGCAAGTAAAAAAGAAGGAAAGTGAGGTTGGCTCAGAGCAGGTTGAGGTCTGATGGCCCCATCCACCCAAATGGACCAGTCTTGTGACATAAATGCTTTCTCCCTCACTCCAATGAGCTAAACAAATATGAACCACATTTAGATAGCTTGTTTTTCAAGTCTCATACAGCATCCCATAATGTGAACAACCACCATGTATGCTTGGTTAGTATTTCTGATCCACACACACACACCCCAAGAGTGGGCACCAATTCAAGCGAAGCCTGGTTTCAGTTCTGCCCTCTAATCAGGCTCCTAGAAAATCTCACTGGCTGCTAAGATTTGGAAGAGAGAGAAAAGTATCCCTGATTATTTGCATCTTGCAGTTGGAAAGACTGAGGCTGACAGAACGGCAACTAATTTGAGGCCACCAAGCGAGCAGTAGTGGCTGAAATGCAGCTTGAGTCAGGGATGTTGTGGCTCATAGCTCATGCTCTTGACTCCCCACACACACACGTGCACAAACACATTAGCAGGTGGACAAACATAAACATGTCACCTCAAATGACATTGAGCTAGCAGACTTCAGATACAGTTTGATTTTTAAAAGACCAGGCATCCTGCAGTGGTCCACTGTATTTTCCTGGACTTCATAAATAATGAATTCAGATTGCAGGAATAACAGCAGCGTTAAATTTTATCATGTTCCAAAAGGGCACAAACAATGCCTTCAGCTTTGTCATTATTTCTCTACCATTAACTTGAACTAAATGCTCCATAAAACTTTATGGCAAGGGTTGAATTCTGGGTTTTAAAAAGCAACATATATGCCACTGTTCGTTTATAGAGATCTCACCTCTCTTTCATTTCTTTCCTTTTTAATTTTTTATTTTTTATTATTAAGATTCAGCAACATCACTTGACCTTGTTTGAAGAACTCAAGCCATATCATGGACACAAAAACATCTCCAGCTAGCTGGGTTTCCCCAGCCACTCTGGGCGGCTTCCAACAAAAGATTAAAAATACATTAAAACATATTAAAAATACATTAAAACATCCATTTTTTTCATTACATTAATGCATTTATTCCTTATCCAATATACAGGAGTCTGCAAAATTCCTGCGACTTCTTATTGCCTGAAGATCTTCAGTGAAGCTCCCTCAGGTGGGGCACACAAAGAAGGACCTCTGATGGAAGCTGTAAGCTTCTTGGCTGGGAAAAGGCAGTCCTTTAAGTTTGTGCATGCTGCTGCCACACCTGAGATCAGGTGGGCCACCATTAGTTTAAATCACCTTGATACCACTTTAAGCAACCAAAGAATCCTGGGGGCTGTAGAACATTAAGAGTGCTGGGAATTGTTAAAGGCAAAGGTAAAGGGACCCCTGACCATTAGGTCCAGTCGTGACCGACTCTGGGGTTGCGGCGCTCATCTCGCTTTATTGGCTGAGGAAGCCGGCGTACAGCTTCCGGGTCATGTGGTGAACCAGAGTAGTACAGAAATGCCGTTTACCTCCCGCCGGAGTGGTACCTATTTATCTACTTGCATTTTGACGTGCTTTCGAACTGCTAGGTTGGCAGGAGCAAGAACTGAGCAACGGGAGCTCACCCCGTCGCGGGAATCGAACCGCCGACCTTCTGATCGGCAAGTCCTAGGCTCTGTGGTTTAACCCACAGCGCCACCCACATCCCTTGCTGGGAATTGTTACGATACCCTATTCTCAGAGGTACAATTTTCAGAGTAGTTTAACAATAAATCCCTCATCTCAAGGAACTCTGGGAAGGGAATAGGGGTCTCCTAGCAACTCCCAGCACCCTATAGCTCCCGAGGTTCTTTGAAGGAAGTCAATCTAAGCAGTTTGATTGTACGGTCCCACTGCTGTACACTGCCCTGAAGTTC